AATGCTACTTCCGTATAAAAGAAAAATACTGTTAAACCATGACGTAAATGATGAAAGAAAACTGTGTTAGCTTAATTGTTAATTATTTCATTTGGGGGCTCTTGAATCGCATTTTTCAGTTGGTTTTGGTGTCTCAATGAATTATTTCATTCATGTTTTATTTATACAAAAAACACTTTATAAACACTTCAATAAACGTCTCGTGCGTAAAAAACAGAATAAACACATCCATTGCCGTTTTCTGGGAAGAACTTACGAACAAAAAAAGTGAATATTATGATGCCATCAAAAACTCAAAAAAGACACTTTTATAACGCGAAACAATAGCTTACAACACCACAAATACTTTTTCCCTTTCCGATGAAATATCAAGTTTATAACTGAGGATTTGTCTCCACGTATATCACGGTCTCCATAGCTTTACTACCTGCCTGTTTTATAATTTAATTTGGAACTCTTGGGGCAGAATTTCCATTAAATATTGTATTTTATGGGGTAACAAGGACAGGCAAGGTGATAATGAAAATAAATTATATTGGGCGCCCCCATTTCGAACTTATGTGTCTCTATCTCGCCGAGACTGGGGAATTTAATATCAATACAATGGTTTTGGTATTGGAGGAAAAAATATTTGGCTCTTACGGCGGAGCGACGAATATGTGGAGGAAATGCGAATAATAGAGCTGATATTAGAGCGAATTCAACAATTACTCAGAGAAAGAGGCACTGGATCGGAAGGTACGAGTATCCGCCCTTGGAACACGTACATCCATGAAATATGACCATTTATGTTTTCTTACATCAGCCACTATTCAAGCGCGGAAATATTAGAACTAAGACGACAAGAAAGAGCAATTTATTCAGCGAATATACGACCGAAAATGACTTTTATGTCAGCAGTCAATTTTCGCAGAGAGGCGTCGCATCGTAAAAAGATATTGCTCTCAGGTTTGAGCACATTACTATTTTAGCAGTGCCAAAAAGGATCATGGCAAAATCGAGTTAGATAACATTAGGTCTAGTTTGCATACTAATTTCCTTTGCAAAGTGCAAGCCATTCCTTTCATTGTCTTCGAGAGACTCTAATTCTAATCAATTGTATTGATTCTTCATCAGATGTGCAAACTCTGAATTTTGACCAATTGGAGGACAATTGTATGAAACAAAAGCCAGTTAATAAACAAAATCAAATTGGAATTTTTCTTAATTAAAATGCAATGAGCCAAAACAATGTATTCAATGTACAGGGCGATTCACTGTCGATTGCGTATTAAATTTTTACCGAGTCTCAACGCTACACTTCAGTATAAAATACTTATCAGCGTGAGTACGTTTTTCGTGCAATTCACAAGCCTTTCAAACCAAATTTTTTCTTTATAATTAGACAATTTCAGCTTTCTAGATGATCCAGTTTTATTGTCAGGAATTTTTCGAATCCACCCCATATAATTCAATAGGAAACAATTTTAGCACTCTACGGACAATTTTAAAAACATTGACTCAAAGAAGAGTGTTTTAGTGTGCGAAAATTCTAAATGAAGGGGATTTTTCGCGGCTTAAGCGGACAAACCATTTTTGGAATAAGAAAAATTTACTGCTTTCGGCAGAACTTGAACCTGCGAACCTCATGAGGTCGCTTACAGAGTGAATTTTGAAGCCTTCAAAATTCGAAATAACTAAGGCTTTGAGCCAATGAAAGGGATTTTTCGCGGCTTAAGCGGACAAATAATTTTTGGAATAAGAAAAATTTACTGCTTTCGGCAGAACTTGAACCTGCGAACCTCATGAGGTCGCTTAGAGAGTGAATTTTGAAGCCTTCAAAATTCGAATAAACTAAGGCTTTGAACCAATAAAAGGCATTTTTCGCGGCTTAAGCGGACAAATAATTTTTGGAATAAGAAAAATTTACTGCTTTCGGCAGGACTTGAACCTGTGAACTTCATGAAGTTTTTGAAATGAAAAAACTCTTTTAAATTAATTTCGCCTTTAACAGGCAAACACTGAGCGTCTCTTCACCTTCTTGGGCTCTAAAAGCCCGTCAAATCGCCAAACAAAATATTTAGTTCAACTCCTATTGTTTCATGGGCATTTACAAACGAGGAAAAGTCGCGAAATAAAGTATCTAACGAGTTTTAACTCGCCTGTTCATTTAGCCTAACAGAAATAAAATGTATGAACATCAATTTGAACAAAGCAATTGTAAACACAAGTTCTTTGCTCGGCATTTCCGACCCATTTCGTGAGATTCTGTGCAGTTTTAATATAAAAAGAATATAAGCCCGAAGGAGTCAAAGGAAACAGTGAAGTCCTTATTGTGCGACGAAAATGGAATGTCTTTTATTTTTCGGTCGCCTAACTTGGGCTTGGAAGTGGTTTTTATCGGGCCATATTGTAATTTTCCTCAGCAAACGCAATCACTCTCTCAAACAAACGAACATGATCACTAACTGGATAAAGCTAAACTGGAAAATTCGACAGTATTTTAAGTAGGACGGAAGAAGGAAGAAAAAAGAATTGTCTAGTAAAACAGAAATATCCTATTCTTTCAGTTCGAGTGAAGTATCAGGAATAAAACAGCAAATGCTGTAAATCATTCTGTTCGCAACAAAGTGAATAAAACCGAAAAGCTTTCCTTATTCAATGAGCCAGAAACTTGTGCATTCGGAATGTTGCTTTGTAATTTTATCGCATTTATATAATTCCCCAATTCTTCGTAAAGCTCAAAAAGCAGTTATTGAAGTAATATAAATCCGACAAAGTAAACGTTAAAGTTTCATTCCATCCTGGAGAGTTCTGACTTTCTGCTGACTACATTGGAAATAGCAGAGTAATAGAGCGCAATCTTTCGCTAAAACAATATAATTTGACCTGCTGTTTGATGGAAAGAACACGCTTATCTGGAAAGTTGCTTTGGGAGCAAAGTTTTCAACTACGCTTCCAATTATTCGACTCGGAATAGTTTCGTTCAGAGTGAACGTTTGGCTCGTTCCGTTACTTACTTGAGCTGAAACATGACCTCGTTCGAGCCGAGGCAAATCGGTATGACTCCAAGGACTAGTCGCCCACGGAGCCACGCCTTGAAGATCTTCATCAAACTTGAAACTCTTCAGTCTGTTGTGCACATATTTTCGAATATTCCACGGCAAATCGTTGTGCCCATCGATCAAGGGGGTGTCCTGCAAGGGAAACAGTTCGTATGTTCAGAAGAACGGCAGCAAAGAAAGTGAGTATGTCTTACCTGGAGCAGTCTGCTTGCCACCTCAAGTCTTTGCTCAAATGATGCCTCTGCAGTGATTTTAAGAGCGATGGGCACTCCAACACCAACAGCTGCCGCTAACAGTAAAACCACAGCAATAATCCACCAATGTTTTGCTGTTAGGTCCAATCCACCTGAAATTTCAGAAAAAATGTTCTAGTAAAATAACTGCTGAGTTTTTGCTTCAAAGAACAAATCAGTTCAGTCTTAGTTTTTAAACGTTTACTTTCAGGTCGTTGTATAATAGAATTTCTAGTTAGGATTTTCTGATGACCTCTGAAGTTGCCTGATGAAGCCAAAATTTCTATTCTACCTCGGCATCAATTATTGAGTACAAATTGAAAATAAAACACTCGAAGAACACAAAGCTTTTCACGTCGCCCAATTTCGTCCAGTTCTGTTTGGTCATAACAACAGTTGTGATTGATTTCATTCGAATAAATGCGCCTAAACCGTCGCATCTATTTAAATTAATAATTTTACATGGCACGGACAATAGTCCGGTAAATTTTCATATGCAACGTTCACAAAATACTTTATTATGATAAAATGGGTGAATATTTTGACCACGAGCTGAATGTAATTTATTAAATTTCTATCATTCATTTGTCATGGAAATTACAAAATGCTGTTCTGTAGTGGATTGTTTTATTATGTAGTAAATGCGGTGTAGATGAATTTGTTGCTGATCTCGACAGTCAAATGCAGCAAAACATGCACCAAAAGCGTTTATGCTTAAATTGTGATTTATGCAACTAGCATGGATGAGTAAAATCATCTATTATACATTAGAACGTTGAATGGCTGTTATTTTATACACGTTGTTTTATTTTTCACATTCTTATGTAGCAACTTTTTTATTTTTACTGTATCTTCTCATTGATTTAAATGTTTAAATTGCCAATTAATAGTGTTTCGATAGCAGTCAAGTGTGTATAAATATTTTTCAAATATTTCAAGTATTCATAGTAGAACAGGTTTTGATTGATGTTGCTCCTTCTTTCTGCAAAATCCGTCCATTTATGTTATTTGCTTTTTGCAAGTTGTTTCTTCAGATTTATATACCTTGTCACCTGGTGCATTTTTTTCTGATATTTTTTTTAACTATTGGGTTTAGTTTAGCTGTTGACAAAATAAGCTTGACGTTGACTGCATAACTTGAAGATAAGTTGTATATTGTTGAGGCGGATTCATTTTTTTACAAACTTCTTGTTGGGTATTTCGCCTCAAAACTTCACTGTTTCCTTTGACTCCTTCGGGTTTACATTCTTTTTATATTAAAACTGCACAGAATCTCGCGAAATGGGTCGGAAATGCCGAGCAAAGAACTTGTGTTTACAATTGCTTTGTTCAAATTGATGTTCATACATTTTATTTCTGTTAGGCTAAATGAACAGGCGAGTTAAAACTCGTTAGATACTTTATTTCTCGACTTTTCCTCGTTTGTAAATGCTCATGAAACAATAGGCGTTGAACTAAATATTTTGTTTGGCGATTTGACGGGCTTTTAGAGCCCAAGAAGGTGAAGATACGCTCAATGTTTGCCTGTTAAAGGCGAAATTAATTTAAAAGAGTTTTTTCAATATAGCAATTTTGCTAAAGTGTACCTTAAAACATTGAGGATGTTTGGAAATTGGTTTTGGATTTGATTGCTTCTCTGATTTCTGGGAAAATTCGTAGCGTTTAAAATAGTTTAAAATTAAAGTATAGTTTGAAGCCTTGAGACTTTCAACGAATTGGAAAAAAATTAATGTAGGGTCTAGAACTGTGAATTGTGCAGAATTTTCTTTAACAATTCGAAGCATTAAAACTTGATTCTCTAATAAGCTAAAATTTTTAGACGGAAGGGGCAGAGAGCGAGTTTTGAAGCCTTTAAAATTCGAATAAACTAAGGCTTTGAACCAATGAAAGGGATTTTTCGCGGCTTAAGCGGACAAATAATTTTTGGAATAAGAAAAATTTACTGCTTTCGGCAGAACTTGAACCTGTGAACTTCATGAAGTTCGCAGGTTCAAGTCCTGCCAAAAGCAGTAAATTTATCTTATTCCAAAAATTATTTGTCCGCTTAAGCCGCGAAAAATCCCCTTCATTTAGAATTTTCGCACACTAAAACACTCTTCTTTGAGTCAATGTTATTAAAATTGTCGTAACAACAAAACTAGATCATTTAGAAAGCTGAAATTGTCGAATTATAAAGACAAAATTTTGGTTTGAAAGACTTGTAAATTGCACGAAAAACGTACTCACGCTGATAAGCATTTTATACTGAAATGTAGCGTTGAGACTCGGTAAACATTTAATACGCAATCGACAGTGAATCGCCCTCTGCTCGAGCACTATTTATTTATCAATCTGTAATAAAAGACGTGAGGAAATTCTGTCTTTTTTAAAGACAAAAATTTTTGAAGCGAAATACCCAACAAGAAGGTTTTTAAAAAATACGTAATTTGAGAAACAACGTGTATATAGAAAAACTCATATTGGGAATTTAAAGATTAATCTACTTAAGCAAGCAGAGTAGGAAGGTAAATAACGAGCAGAATCCAAACTGTATGGTGTTCACGTGAAAAAATCAAACAAAATTAAGAGAGAGTCAAAGCAAAAGTATGCATCAGGAAAAAATGCAAGTGTAAAAAAATAAAAGCGATGCTTACGAGTGATTTATTAAAAAGTTGACAATTTGCAACATATTGGTTTTTGCAAAAAAATCTTCGAATTAACAGTGGAAAATTCAATTGTTGCACATGGTTTGCGAAATACACGATGTAGGAAATATTATTCAAAAATTATCTTTGCTTCGAACTTTAAATTTTATAAAACTAAGCTTTTCGCCCATAAAAAGCGAATAATTAAGAATTTTCGAAAAACTTTCAAACTGAAGCAAATGCGCTAATAAAAGTTAGTAATTTGCAGTACTTACTAAACTTTCGTAATTTCAATTAAAAAAGGAAGTAAACCGCAACGTACTTTCTATTTATGACTGGAAACAGCGGAAGAATAAATGATTAAACCTGATGTTGGATGAAAATTTCACCTATAAAAATCACAATTTGTCGCACGTTTGCAAACAAATAAATATTTGAATGGCAACCATTTTGAGGCGGCTGCAGGTTCTGAGTGTTTTCATTATTTACAGCCTTGTTTTGATACGCAAGGAATTCGCAACGAATAAAATTGCCTTAAATAATGCACGCGAATGTGACTGAAAATGAGAACGGAGCTGTTTAATAATGGAGCATGTCAGAAATGAAGCAGGCAAAGCAGAATATTGGTGCGAAACAAGGGAAACATACAAGTAAGAATCAAGGCATCAAAAAGACACCGAAAACGTTATCATTTAAGCCTCAGAAGTGATTATGCTGTGGCAGCAATGACAATTTAAAGCGATTGGTAAAAAAGCGGCAAAGTTCAACTTAATTAAGCGAATYGAGTAGAGCAATTGATTGGATAGTGCGAGCAATCGAACCTGCAAATCAAAACTCCATTAAAGCATCAATTAAGCGGCTATTGAAGATAACCACAAYGCTWTAATTATCTGTTTCAAATTTAATTAATCCCTAATACCTTAATGGCTTTATATCCGAAATCGAATTAGGATAATTGCACGGCCGCAAACTTCTAAGTTATATCGAAGTTTGCCAGAAATTTCACTTTGAATCGGGTAGTAATTCTATTAAAACTTCGCGCCGTTCCGGCTCTTCAAGAGCTGGGCAACTTTTAAAATTGCCCACACAGAAAAGGAACAAGTAATGCGACGCTATTTAAATGTGATCAATCGCGGATCATTAGCTCGAGTTGCTTTCCGAAAATCATGACCCGCTTACAGATTTGCATTCCGACGAAAGAAACGTGATTTTTCTGCAAATTGCTGCGCCATATAACGTTTCGAAAAACGGGTCTGCACCTCAAATTGTGCTGATCACTTAGAGGCCGATCTGAAAATTGCACGTTACATCAGAACTCCAAGCACAATGGAACTAGTATCATTTATTCACGGGAAAACGCCTGAGAAGCTGCCAATTTAAAAATTCATTTCCCCCGAACATATTAAATGATACGACAATGAAAAGCGGCGGAAAATCGCAAATTGAAAGAGTAAATTGGCGCACGTGAAATGGAAACCGAGTGCAAATAAAGTCGACGTCTAGCCTTCTATAACTAACGCATAAATAATTAAAATTAATCGCAATTTGGACGGATCCAATTTTTCCAAATGGAATTAAATTTCTCGGATGGGATATTTTAACGCCGGCTGGTTTTTAACAATTAACAAGACCATTTCTTCTCACTTTTGCGCGAAAATTGATCGCGATTGATTGACTTGAAAGAAAACTTGAAAACTTGACTTGAAAAAAAAAGAAAACTGGACGCTACAGTTGCGAAAAATACCTCCAAAGCCCGGTAATAACATATTTGCTGGAATTATTAAACCATTCCACAGCTGCAGCCAACTATTGGGTTACATACCGCTGGGACGGTTTTCCAAATTCCTGATCAAAATTGCTAATTTTGCTCCGCAGGTAGAGATGAAAGCTACATTTTTCTCTTGAACAGCGAAGCAATGCAGACAATTGAATAAAACAGGTTCAGAAGTAAGCGAAACGGCCAAAGCAATGCAATATTGTATATTATCTATGTCCAACATAAATTCTTTTTTCGCTTAACACCYCAACTTTGCTACAAAAACTGCAGCTTTCCATTGTCATGTCTGCATCTGGAAACAAAGTATTTTTTAACATATCGGCCAAACTATGCCAGKCCAAAATTTGCCTGAGTACAGGTTTAATAAAACCGCCATTATGAGCTGKTTTTGTCCCTTTTCGAATCCCTTTTGCCTCGGGGTTTGATCCCGAGATCCGGAACTTGGAGGCCTTTGTTAATTTTTCGACTGGTATGTTTAGGGATTATTGTTCCAGGAAATGTTCAAGTTTAATAAGAATATGGTTTATTAAGGCCTGTTAAAGCCTTTTTCTTTTACCTAACAATAAAGCTTGTAATTCTTGTAGCAGATGCAAAAAATTGATTTTCCATGTCTATTAAAGAATAGTTCAAATGCAGCTTAATGAACCGAGAAAAAATTAAACACTGGCTTAGAAGAAATATAGAATGTTAAACGTGTGAGATGAGGGAATCA